CTGTTAAAGCCCGCGGATTATGCGCACGGATTATGCCCTCTAGATTTCCTTTCTTAGTTAGCGAACCCTAACGCGATACTAAATCGGGCGCGGATTGTGCATAATCCGTCGCCTTATATTGGTTAGGCACAACGCTAGAGCATTTTATATGTTAACAAGAAACGAAAAACAGCACCTTAGCTAAAGAAAGGGGATAAAGTTTATTTGCTTACGAAGAATCTCCGCACTAAGCGACCTAACAAGGGGCTCGACAACGTTAAGGTTAGACTATTTTTAATTCTTAACTAGAAGGGACTAGTTACATTTACACTCGACCTTCCACCCAACGCAAAAATCTACCTACGATTCTATATTAACATGTTAGAACTAGCAGACCCTAAAACGCTACTCTAGAAAACCTTTTACTTTGAAATAGAAGAAGACAATGTCTTCGAGGTTGAACAAATCCTCGAATATTAATAACGCAACAACAGAATAGAGTACCTAGTTAAATAGTTAGGATACGACGATAGCGACAATATATAGGAACTAGATACGAACCTTACAAACTGCTAACAGCACCTTCGGAAGTACTAAGCTTAGCGACAGAAGCATTAAGCATACCTATTATAGCCTATATAGTCGGCGAGAACGCGACGCTAATTAATATAGCAGGACAGTCAATATCCTGCGCCGCCTCCGTCTTACTAGCCGCCTCTATGTCCGAAGCTAAACAAAGCGCTTTCTTACGCGCCCGTTCCTCCGCCTGTTTTAGAATTTTCTTATTCCGCAGTAACTGCGAAATCACCGCTGCCAACAACTTTTTATTATTATTAACTTTCTTTTAGTACTCCTCCCGAGTACGGTCTAAAGACTCCTAGGACATGTTCACACATGCCTAACCTAACTAAGTGCACTTAGCACACTTTAGACGAGAATTCGGCATAACGAGATAAACAGCTCCTTCAAGAAAATAATAGTTATAAGGAGTTTTAGCAGGATAGTTAGCTTAAGCGATTTCGGAGCTAAGGCGTAAGCGACGTTAGTAGGAAGAGGACATAACGACTGCCTTACTTATAACGCGGGATAAGCCTCAGTTATTAATAAAAACGACAAATTAGTTACGTAATTCGAGGACGAATCTATAGAGGAGGAGGATAGTGTTACGATCTAACCTAAAGGGCACTCTAAGGGTCAGCGTAATTACTTTAAAAGATCGTGCGGCATAGTCGTAGGAGTGCGGCACGGGAACTGCGCCGCAGTTACGTAACCGCTCGTCTACGAGCAGAACAACGCTAGTCCTATAACGAGCGCTTATCTACGAGCATAAGTAGTTAGACTAATAACTAGCAAGACACATTACTGCTTGTCTACAATCACCTACACGCTCGTCTACGAGCGCAACACTTATTACGTATATAGCCTAGACACTAAACCCTTATAGCTTAGTGTGTTTAACTTCGTACAAGACTCTAGTATTTAATCTAAGGATTATACTTCTTTCTTAACCCCTTATAATATTACATCGTTCTACTAAACGTGCTATTATACCTTCATACTATTATATCGATCTACTAATCGTGCTAGTACACTAACCCGTCCTACCTCACTCACTCATACCCCGAGAACCAACTCTTAGGTTATCTTAGGACGACCTTCACACCTGACTCTTGGGGTTCTGCAGTCGCGCTAGCGGCCGTTGATCGATTTCGGTCTGCTGCGCACTACGAAGCTAGCGTCGTGTTTCCTGCGGAAGCGTTGCTAAGCCACGAACGGATTTTTTAATTAGTTCTTCTGTTAGCTTAGCAGCCAGCTGCAGCTTTGCTTCGTTTTAGTTGGGCAAGCGGGCTTAATAGCCTAGATAAGCCAGATTCTGGCCCTGCAGAAACGACAACCACCCAGTTCTCTTAAACTAGCTAGTTTTGTCCGTCTTTGCAGCCTTAGCTATTACTTGCATGTCTTCTTTAAGCTACTGTTGCATAGTCTGCTATCCGCTAAGTTGCTGCTAAACTACCTAATCTTAATCTAATCTTCCTTTATTTTCCCTAATACCTAAATTAATAATAAAATATTTCTGCAACCCCCTACTACAGAAAAACGTCTGCACTTTTACAGATTTATACAATACGCTTTTATTACCTGTCTACGAAAGCTCGTGCAATTTTCTATAGTGTGTCTTTATGTTGCCTTTGTCTATCGTAATAAAGCTGCACTTTTAACACTTAAGACTATCTAACAGCGTCCTAAGCTCTTAAATAGGGTTAGCTAGCTGCTCTAGAGGCTCAATTTCTTTTAGATTAACAGCAGTAAACCGTGCGAAATAGTCTACTACCTGTCGTCGCACTGCAATAGGGGTTCTGTGCTGTTTGCGCAAGTGCTAGTTAAGATTTATTACTCTAGTACAGTGCTGCTTGCAAACTAGCACGCTATACTCGCTAAGAAAGCAGAACACAGCATCGCAGTTGTCCCTAGAGATTTTGCGGGGCTAGTTATATTAATCTGCGTGTTGTGCACTGCTATTGTCTTGCTGCTTATTATATTTAATAGGCGCTTAGCTATTCTAAACAGGGTTCTCTATTACTATAGAACTCTAACTCTAAATGCAGAGAATAGCGCTGCGCCTGTTAAGCTTCTACAGACTAATAGCGCATGTAAATCTACGCTAACTTTATATAGGCGACAAACTTAAACTAGTACGTTGTTGCTAGGTGTTAGGGGGTAGATAGGCTGGGTGTTTAGGGTCAGAATTTCCCCGCGAAAAGCGGGAAACCCTAGCGCTAAGCCACTTTAAGCGAATGTGAGGCCTCACACCCGGCCTCATATTAGTTAGGCTAAGATAAGAACGTAGCTTAAGAAGCGTACAACAGGCGTAATCGCGTAGGAATTTTAGCAGTTGCAGAGCTGCTCGCTTAGCAGCTTAGCGCTATCTAATTAGCTATCTAGGCTAGCGCCGTAACAGCGCGTTAGGTAGTTACGCGACCTATAAGAACTCTATATTTTCTGTAGCTTAATACAAGGCGCAATAGTAGATAATTATTAGTATTATTACCTAAAAGATATGTTCTAATAGCAAAAAGTTAATCTATAGTATAAAAATAATAGAATTTAAATAGCAATACTTATAAAAATACTAAACAAGAATACTCTTAGATTCTGCTATTCTAGGTTAGCAAGCTCTAACGCTTAGCCTAGTTTAGCGCAAGAATACGTATTCTTGTCGCCTTATATTAGTTAGGTAACTTTACCTAGTACAAGTATAAGTAGATTCTAAGAATTATAGCTAAGTAGGCAACAATTCGTCTATCTTTACTAGATAATATACTATTACTCTACTATCTCTTATATACTATATTAATTAGTAGTTACTTATCTAATATAAATCTAGAATAGATTTACTCTAGATTTAATAGCTTACTTAGGTTTTATCTAAGCTCTTAGATAGTAAAGTTCAAAAGCCTTAGAGCTACTACTTTAGGCTTACTCTCTACTTCTTATTAGTACTTATTACCTTAACTAAAAATTACTTAGGCCTAGCAGCTTTAAGACGTTCTCTTAGGTAGGTAATATAATTATCTTGTATTGCATTCTGCTACTTGTCTCTAGCTATTTACATGGCGCATTGCCCCGTCGGGAAGCATTGCAGGTTATCGATCGCGAAAGTCGTTCCTGCAGCGAGAATGTTGGCATTGTTGAAGAGAACGAGAACCATAACGGTATGCTGGTCTTGCGCATTCGCGACTCCGGAACCGCCTACCGTGTTCCAAACAGCCGCTTCTGGACTCGTCGGCGACCCCGTGAACAAACCGTTCGACACACCGTTCTGCGGATAGTACACGAGTTGATTGTCAATATACAGACGGGCTTGCACGGTGTATCTTAGGCGATTGTCGGCCTGAACTATCTTGAACCCGACCGTGCAGTTGTAGTTGCTACTGGCTGGGATGTAGACGTTGTCGAGCGTGAACCTCCACACCTGGGCTCCCGTGTACCGATTGGTCAACGTAGTGTAAAGCGCATGTGATCCGTCGAGCGGCGCGAAGGGTGCCGTATCAACAGAAAGAACCTCGGTCTTGCCGTACAAAGTATTGGTGGCGTAGGTATTGGTCCAGGGTGCGATGGCTCCGCTTTCGAAAGATGGATTGTAACTCGCGGCGAGCGTGTTGCAGGTTGCTGGGGCCGACGTGGTAGATGTCGCGACGATTGAGGTCGCTGGGGATAAGGAAGCGGGTGCCTCCGGGAGTGGCGACGGCGTCTCGACCACTGAGCTCGATGCGGTCTCTTGGGCTGGTGTAGGTGTGGTTTCGGAGGATGCGGCAGGCTCCAGCGATGACGACGTGCTGATCAAAACGGATGAAGAAATGGTCCCGGTCTCGGTCTCCACCGGTACAACCTGGGATTCCGTGGATACCGGCGTGGGTGTGGTGGTCGGCTCGACAGACGTCTCGAGCACGGTAATTGATGCGACAGGAGAGACAATCTCGACTTGCGAGGAAGCGACCTCCGATGTAGCGAGCGGGGTTGCAGCTGTGCTCGAAAGCTCGACAGTAATGGTAGGCGACTCTGTAAGGGTAGTCAAGACGCTGGAAGAGCTGGTGATAGCGTTCGTTGAGACCGCGACTTCTGAGGATGCGAGCGAGGTTGAAAGACTGCTAGGCGCAGAAACGGTATCCGTGGCCGCTGTTGACTCTGAAGCGACGTCCAGTGAAGACGAGCTTTCCACTACGATGGCCGATGCGCTTGCGCTTGTTACGAACGTACTCAGGTATAGGCTTTCGATCGACGGAATCGTGGACGAAGAGGACGAAATAGGGTCGGCGAGCGATGCGCCCGTGACCTGGGACGAGGTAGTGGAAGACGACGCGGTGCTCGACGTCGAGATAGACGATGAATCTGCGTGTGTGCTCGTGGCTGGAGGCGCACTGGCCGGTGCAATCGGGGCCTGCGCCGGCGAGGACGAGGCGGACGGGACGGACGAGGATGCAGGCTTGCAATTGCCAAAGCCTGGCTGGCATCCGCTACCGCAGTATGCATCGGTACTTCCACTGTTGCGCATTAGTATACAGTAGCATGCGACGGAGCATGCAGTCGCCGAACGTACCAGTATGAGTATTTACTGCAGCAGTCACCCCATTTGGATCCAGCACATGTCATTCCGAGAGGTGACGCTTGGTAGGCATTTCCGCATCGCGCATTAGTAGAGATCTTGTGAGTAGCGGCCTTCGTGGCGGGAGACGAAGCGGTGGAAGCAGCCCGAGTTGATGTCGACGATGAACGCGTCGTGGTAGTAGGAGTGGCGGCAGCTGGGCCTGAGCAGGAACCGAAAGCAGGGTTGCAGCCTGAGCCGCAGTATGCGTTAGACGAGCCGCAGTAGCCGTATCTGGAAGTGTGTTGTGATTAGCGAGTTGTCCAAGTGGTGCTGTGCGTTCCAAGGTTGACTTACTGCGAGCAACAGTTGCCGAATGCAGACTTCAAGCACGTGAAGCCACTCTTTCCGCCGCAAGTCCCATCCTTTGACACCTTTGCAGATGCCGAGATCGGAACAGGCGAGGATTTACAATTCCCAAAGCCCGACTGGCACCCGGAGCCACAATGAGCGGAGGTCTTGCCGCAGTAGTTGTATTGCGAGCAGCAGTTGCCAAAAGAGGAACCGCTGCAGGTAAGACCAAAGCTGCTTCCGCAGCGGCCGGTCTTGGAAACGCGCGGACTGCTCACAGCAGCATTGATGATGGGGAGAGCTGCAAGGACTGCAAGGAGAATTGATCGCATGATGCCGAATTATGTATTAAGGATTATTCGTGAGATAGTGTTCGATGCGAGACTGAATGAGTGACGGGGTGGCGAAAGGAAGGGCTGTCAGATGATATCCGACGGAATAGAATACGAGAGACGGTGCGCGATGCTTCAAGTCGAAGGCGATGGCGAGGATATATATGGCGTTCATGATTGCATCGCTGTCGTGAACGTCGCCGCTTGGACCGAAAGAGTAGAGCTACACAACGCGAGAAGCCACAAGCGGGTCAATGGAGCCCTCTCGCGAAAGCGAACTCAATGCGGTGAGCTGAATGCCGCAAAAGGAAATCCATGCACTCTTTCGAAGCTGTTGTGATGCTGGTCGAGAGGGTGTAGGAGATCTAGATTGTGGGAGCCGTACGATGTTCGCGCGGAGCCGCCGAAGATCAGTACCATTTGGGCTAGGCTGCCGTGACTAGCGCCCGCCCTCTGCGCCACAGGGGTGAGCTTGACGATGCGAGCAGTAATTCACGAAGTGTTCAATCTCCACAAACGACAACGGGGCAGAAAGCAAAGAGTACGCCTTTCGCTTGGACTGTGGTCTGGACCTCGTTCAAGCTGGGTCATGCAGGTGTTACTTTGGTATACGGCATGATCCAGAAGAGACGATAGGGCAAGGAAATGTGTCAATGCCCAAGCGAACCCCTCGTTCGCGCAATAGCTTTGCTCTGGGCTCCGCGCTCGAACCTGAAGGCTCTTCGCGAGGGAGATTGGGTAAGTACATTGGTGGGTTGGTGAATCGATAACGGTGGTTGTCATAGCTTTCCATACAAGTTAACCTCAATCTACATCTGCGTAATCTTCACCGTCCTCATAATCCCATTGTGCCCCGCTGCAGCTGCATCAACCGTCGCATTATATTTGTCCTGCTCCCACTCCATTTTTAACTCGATCGTACTTCCACTTGGGCTCGCATTGCCACTGGTGACATGGACAGTATGATGTTTTGAATCATGATTACTGAGCTGGATATCATTTCTGCCATGCTGACTTGCATGTTCCAGGTACCCTGATCGTGACGGGTGTGCTGAATTCCACATGCGCGAGTGCTTGCGCGAGGTGCTGTCGTGGGTCGACATTTCACCGAACACCTGCCGGAGCAAGGGGCGGAGCGTGGCGGCGGCGGAGGTTGCAAGGCCGATTCCGGTTTCGCAGGTGGACCAGATTGCGACGTCGGTGGTAGAGTATAGGAAGTCGGGTATATCGTTTAGGCCGCTTATGAATGGGATGCGGACGACTGTTGCGGTGGAGCCGCTGGTGTTGAGTTAGCATACGATGCAGGGAACCCTCTAGAGGCGCGATGAGCTTACATAGCGCAGCAAGCCAGTACAACAGCCACCGTCATCTTCTTTCTCTTATTCATCTGCAGGTTGTGCACGATAAAGATTGGAACAATACTGAATGTCCAGTCCGTGACACAGGACAATGCAGAGTAGCCGTAGAACGAGTTCACGACAAATTTTGAGGGGATGCAGTGTCCTTTGCCGCCGCGAAACTGTTCCCAGAAGAACGAGACAGGCCAGCACTGGAAGGTGAAGACGAAGAAAAAGTACACGCTGTATACTTGGATGGCGATAAGGGCGATCCAAAGAATCATGCGATGGGTTCTATCCTGGGCGATGCGCAGCAGGAAGATGCCGATGCTCATCTTGAGGAAGATGTTCGTAACGACGTATGTAGGCTCGCAAGTCCACCACCACTGATACGAGTTGTCAGTCCCAGGGGATATGCTGTAGAAGCGGTACCACACACCTTCATGCCGATGGGATACTTTTCGTCTGGGATGAGATATCGTCGCTTCCCAGTTCCATTCTGGAGACCTAACAGCGCGGAGCTACAAAAGACCAAGAAGGATACCAGCGTAAGGACAGAGAAGTAGTCATCGGCCGCGAAGTTCTTCACGAGGACCAGCTTGCAGTAGCATCGAAGCAGTACTAGCAGGGTGCAAATACAGATGAAGAAGCCCAAGACACCGGTGAACTCTCCGGATCGATCTTCTCGCGGCATGGTTGTCGGTGGAAATGTAGTCTAGAAATCGGTCCAACTCTAAACTCACCATGCGGGGAGACGGCTATGTAATCTGTCAAACCTTCGGCGCGTCCTTTTCCATAGGGGTTGACATGACTTGGAACAAGACTTCGACACGAGCGCCATGCATGCAGGGACAGGATGATGGCCTGTGTCGGTGAAGGATTTTCCGTAAGGCGTGCAGCACGCGAGAAATGATCCACGATCCGTCTCCACAGCGGCTGGACCCTGACTCGGATAACAATGGCCTGGCATGATGCTACTCGATCGCTTGGTTATCCCGCGAAGCTTAGTTTACCCACAGAAGGCTTTCTAGACTAGGAACTGGGCAAGTTTTCCGGGAAAGTAATATAAAGTGCTCTTCGTTGTTTCCATGTGGCTGATCTAGATCTGCGCAGCCTCACCAGGAATAACCGCTTGAGTCGCATCTGTTGAGAACTCTCCAACATCAAGCATCTCGGATTTATCGCACCATCTTGTTATGGTCGCCACTGACTTGTTTTTTGACGTCGCCTCTCCGCTCGTGAGGTGTTCGCGAGCGTGCGACACGATCTATTGTTGTGAGAGTCAATTGGGAATATGTGCGAATGTACTCTCAACGACACTTGCGGCTCATTCCGCTGTTTGTGATGCACGCCGCTTCCGAGCCACGGCCATGTCAGTCCAAGCGTGTCGGATTGTCCCTAGTGTTCTCAAATGCAAACGAACGTGATGCGCAATTATTGACGAGGGAAGGAAATCCCCGTTTGCGTTGTACGTGGGGAGATGAAACTAAAACTCGATTCGAGTGCCCATGACGGCAACTACACGACGCGTCGACGGCGCAGATTTACTCGCACATTAGTGTCCAACGCGAAGCAGTATGTACCTGACTATGATGTAACCCTACTGTTAAAGCCGTCTTCTAAGTTAGGTCGCGATGCGACACGCGTCGCGTGACGACACTGCGACGCGAAGACTTCCATGCTTTATGGGATGAACGGGGGACTTGGAAGCGATGCGCAACGCTATGCTTCGAAGCAAAGGTCAGATGCATGCCTGGGGTTCATGTTTCAGGGCTTTGCGATCGTAGAATGGGTCGTCTTGAGCCGCGGGGGTGGCTGCGCAAGGCGAGACGCCGTGAGCACATCGATGAAGCCGTGTCGCAAGGTCGGATTTGCGTGATAGGCCGAAGGCTGCGTCGGAAGGAACAGCCGACATCGCGGAGAGGCAGGCTAATGGTGGTCAATGGTGAACGGGGGAGAGGCGACCGGTATGATGTCCGCGGGGCGCCGAGCATTGGCACTATTCGGGTAAGGGTGCCGAAGATAGCGTCCGCTCTGGCGCCCTGACAGGGAAGGCATTCACGCTCCGTGTAGCAACAACAACCTCGAGATAATTAGAACCTTCGCGATCGTGATTACCGCAGCCGCCGGCGCACACCGCGATGGCGCATACATTGCGACATGCTCCAGCTTCACACAACGCACTGCAGCCTGATGCCTATGACAGTCTGCAAGCTACTGTGCCACATTCAGCGGGGGCCCTGTCCTCCAGCCGGCCGACATGTATTGCCGCGTCCCGACGCGCGCAACATGTGTAGGAGCATGCGTCGTCGATAGCGAATCACTGCCTCGTCGTCCGCAGGAGAGCCACTGGGGTTCTCAAGGCACACACGGTTGGATCTTCGGCCCGTCGCGTTATCAACCATCATTGCCTCTTTCACCTGCCCACATCGCTGATCTTCTCTTCATGTTCGGGGGTGCCGCATGCCTACAACGCTCAGCTTGAGCTCGTCTGCGACTTCTCGCGCCGTATGCTGGGGGAATGCGGGTTAATGCATCGCAGGAGCGAGACGTGGTAGGCTATCATTCGAGCCATGCTGGGCTACCAGCCGCGGCTACGCGTACTCATGTACGGCAATGACGGGTAAAAACAACAGGGTCCCGGCACTTCGCTCTTCTTCGAAACGCAAATCACTTCGCTTTGGGCCGTTGTGTCTCGCGTACAATTATTCCTCACGCACTCTCATCGTTCGCGTATTCTTTGTGCTCATAGGAAACTTCATTCTACTTCCCTGCTCTATGTCTATTGTGGAAGGAAGCGCTTACAACAAACCAATCATGTCTCTGCAATCTCATGAAACGAAAGATCTGTTGGACATCGTGGACAACCTCCGATCACATGGAATCAATCGATACATCAACCTGCCCGAGATCATCGTATGCGGCGAGCAGTCTTCCGGCAAGAGCTCTGTGCTCGAAGCGGTGTCGGGCGTCAAGTTCCCCAGCAAGGACAACCTTTGCACCAGATTCGCGACTGAGCTGATCCTTCGACGAGGCCCAGAGGTACCGATCAAGATCAGTATTGTTCCTGGTTCGCTTGAGAAATATCGGTCAGAAAATGATCTGGAAAAGCTGCGAAACTTCCACTACTCGAGCGCATTGGAAGATTTGGATCTCGAGCCCGTGATTGAGGCGGCGAAAGAGGCGATGGGCATCACCGAGGGAGGCATCAAAGTGTTCAGCTCCGATATCCTTCGCCTGGAGCTATCTGGACCCGATCAACCGCATCTTACGCTTGTCGATCTACCCGGTCTGTTCCAAGCTGGCAGTCGTTCCCAATCCGATACAGATGCCGAGACGGTGAAGTCACTTGTACTCTCGTACATGAAGAACCCACGCAGCATCATCCTCGCAGTCGTCTCCGCCAAGAACGACTTCAACAACCAGTCGATTACCAAGTATTCGCGCGACATTGATCCAGCCGGAGGACGCACTCTCGGGCTGATTACAAAACCGGACACGTTGGACGAGGGATCTGACAGCGAGCGATTCTACTTCGAACTGGCAGAAAACAAAGAGGTCAGGTTTCGATTGGGATGGCATGTTCTTCGCAACAGAGACTATGGCTCCAAGGACGCGACTACGGAAGAGCGCAACAAAGCTGAAGCACTCTTCTTCCAGACCGGAATCTGGACGTCGCTTTCGACCGATCAAACCGGAGTTCACAGCCTGAAGCCGAGACTCAGTAAGATTCTCAAGGACCACATTGTAGCGCAACTACCGAATGTGCTGAAGCAGATCAGAGCTGGCGTGCAAGAATGTACAACGAAGTTGGATGCTCTAGGCACATCCAGGACCACGGCGCAAGAGCAGCGACGGTATCTCTTACAAGTCAGTCAGTCGTTCAGCACACTAGTCCGAGCCGCCATCGACGGACAATACTCGGATCCCTTCTTCGGTGACGCCTCTACTGACGAAGGCTATCAGAGGCGTCTGCGAGCTGTCCTTCAGAACACCATGACGAAGTTCGCGGCCGATATGCGCAAGAAGGGCCACACTATTGCAATCGTAGACAACGAGGATGATGATGATGATGACGATGACGCACCGTTGCCACCTGGTCAGATGTTTCGCAAGGACTACATTACAGCTGTCACCAAACTTCTGGAGCGAAGCCGAGGTCGAGAACTGCCCGGAACGTTCGACCCACTCATCATCGGGCAGCTATTCCATGAGCAGCGCAAACCGTGGGCAGGGCTGGTCGACCAATACTTGCAGATCCTTCTTCGTGCTGTGCACTTCCTCGCTCGCAAAGCTCTGGCGCACGTCTGCGATGAAACAACTCTTATCGGCCTATCGAGAAGGTTCATCCAGGTGCGGTTGGAGAAGCTCACCGCTGAGCTCCGCACGAAAGTGAAGGAGCTTCTCAAGCCTCACGATACCGGTCACCCCATCACGTACAACCACTACCTGACGGACAATGTCCAGAAAGCACAAAGCCAGCGACGAGCACGTGAGATCAAAAAGTCCCTAGAGAGCGTACTCGGTGGCGACTACAGCGGCGGCAGCACTTACAAGCTGAACATCAATGTGAAAACTTTGGTCGATACCCTGCTTGCGAAGACAGAAGCCGACATGAACAGCTATGCAAGTTCTACGGCCACCGACTTCATGGAGGCCTACTATAAGGTAAGTACGAGTTGCGCATGTTGTTATGAGCGGTACACCCTGGAGCCTACATTGACGTTGGGTGGCCTACTTTGCACTTTTTCAGCCTGATGTAGGCTGTAACGCTGTTCAGGTGTTCTTCATACGAGGTACTGCCAACATCACAACGCGTTAACAGATAGTGTCCAGCTTGATAGGCCAAGATCAAATTTACTAACATCTGCAGGTCGCACAAAAGAAGATCATCGACGACTTCGCCGTCCTCGCCATCGAAGCGCGCTGCATGCAAGCCCTTCCCGACTTGTTCTCGCCAGCCGACGTCATCGACATTGACGACGCGACTGTGACTGCTCTGGCATCCGAGAGCGAGGAGTCTTCGAAAGAGCGAACGCGTTGCAGCGAGAAGCTTAAGATTCTTGAAGACGGGTTGCGAGCGCTCCAAGACGTTCGCAACATCTCGCCGGTTCCACAGGATGAAGGTATGATTTCATGATTAGATCGGCCTTGATGGAAGGACGCCATGCTAACATGCTCAAGATGACGGGTTTGACTCGGAAGAAATAGAAATCCTGCCGAGCCCAGAACCATCAGAATGGTCTGCCCACGACGGTGCTGACGAAGCGCCGGCGGGTGACGCATCGGAAGACGAGAAGCTCTCATTTTCTGATTAGCATGCTCTCTCCTGTGTTCAGAAAGGACAATCTTCATGCGCGACGAGTCTCCGCGTTCGACTTCGCAGCGGCGGGAAATGCTATGAGAAAAGTAGAGACAGAAAACGAGGCCCGCCGTCTTTGATTATGGTGACATGGCTTTATGTATCTACTGATACCCCTCCGTCCTCGCAGCATGACTAGGTTTCGTCCCCAACGCCATAACCGGACTATTAACAAACTCCTCCAACCCATCATGCGTAAAGAACGTCTGCGCCTTGCTAATCTGAACCTCATTCGCGCCTCTTTTCCAAATACTCTCATCGTAACTTGTGACCGCATCTTTCAAACTCTTGCTCCCACTTTGCACGCTCTTCAGCGCTTCAACAAGACAATGCGCGGAGTAAAAAGCATTATTAGCGCCCTGCCCACGGTGAAACGTCATGGCGTGGGCTGCGTCGCCACACAGCGTAACCCTCCCGTCTTGATTATCCCACGGCACCGTCTTCCATATCTTGAGCTGATCGCGCAGCACGGGCGTGTCCTCTGGTATCCATTCGATTGCGCTCTTGTATGGCTCAGCCCACCCATCCCGCTTCACATGCGCTTTAAGCCTTTCCAACCGGCCGTCTTCGTTATCATGATCTTCAACGTACTTGAGCGGCCAAGTGGACAGGATTTGAAACGTCCAGGTACTCGCGTCTTTCTCATCGGGCATATCCAGCACGTTTGCGCGGATGTAGTGACCTGCAGGGTGAATCGCGATGTCCACGAGTGGGTGTAGACGCTCTTTGATGAAGAGGGCTTGCTCGGCGGTGTAGGACGCGTTGAAGTTCATTAGGGCGAAGGGGAGGGTGTCCATGTTGCCTTCTTTGGGTATGAGACAGCGGCGGACTTTTGACATGGCGCCGTCGAGGCCGATGAGGATGGTGCCGGTGTCGGTTGTGCCGTCTTCGAAGTGGACTTTCACTCCGCCGTTCTCCATGGTCTCATAGTGCGAGAAGCTCTTGCTGTATTGCACATCCAATTGCTCAGCTAACAGCATGCGCAGTCTTCTAATATTGATCTCGCGCGCCTTTGGTATCGGGAACGCAAACGCCTCCTCCCGTGTCTGGCCGTTGTAAATCACGATTCGGTCTTCGCCGAGCGCGGCGCAGTCGACGTAGGGGTCGACTTGACATGAGTTGATTTGCGCGCTGAGCTCTTCTGGGATGAGGTCGAAGAGGTATGGTCGTGCCCAGCCTAATGTGAAGGCCCAGTGACGGTGGCGGTAGACGTCGGCGCCTTTGTCGTAGATGTTGAAGGAGATGCCGGCTTTCTTGAGGCCGTGAGCGAGGGCGCAACCGGCGGGGCCTTGGTGTGTTAGTAGGGGTCTCTTGTGCTGAAGGTTTGGTTACCCACCGGCACCGATGACGATGACTTTCAGGCTGGTGTCGATGCTACCCATGTTGGTTGGATGCGGTGTGGGGTATGAGAAGTGTGAGGGACGGTGCAGGCAAGATACAATGTCAGATTCGAGAGATACTTGGTCGCGGCATCAGCGGTCTTAACATAGCATGCCGGATCGAGGCCATGCTGCAGGGTCGTTCAAGCCAGGCGACATGTGTAAGCTAGCGTAAGAGAGTGGGGGATGCGATGCAGATGCGGCGGATGCGGCGGGCGCCGTTGTTACTAGCGTCCGGCGTCGGTTCTCCTCTCCAGTGCCGTGCCCAGATATCGAACGCAACACAGTTTACGCATGGGCTTAAACGCCTCTGAGAAGTGTAGTCATGGAATGTGTTGGACAATTGCGCTCGGCTATACTGACCACGTGTAGCAATGCTGCGTGTCGCGCTCCCGCTCGGTCAAGCTCCAGCATCGACATTCATCCCGACAGCATGACATACCGCAGCCCTGACGATCTCCCTGACAGTCTCCACCTCTTCCTCGTTCCTCGGCGCATACACCATGATCCAGCTCGGCGGTGCCAACCAAGTCACTGGAAAGCGCTGTCCCCAGCCCCTCTTCATCACCAGCCTCGCATCTTGCGGGCTCACGTATACGTGGAGTGAGTTCTCGGCTGGATGCACGTGCGCGACCTCGTAGAATATCTTGTGCGCGACGGGGTTGATGGTCTTGACGTCTGGTTTGACGTATATGGCAGGTCCAGTGCCGCCTTCGGTCTTGCTCGGTCGTGTCTCAATGTACTCCGAGTACGCCTTCGTATCCGCAAACTCGCGCATGAGATCGTGAAGAGTCGTGGAAGCGCCGGGTGTTATCTTCTCAGGGAACTGGCGTTGCGGTAGTGTCCAGCGTGTAAGTCCTGGTCTACTGCCAACGCGGTCCGGCACTCTTTGAGGATTGATATAAGACGCGCCCGTATCGGGAATTGGAGATGCATCGAGCAGGTCCTGGCGCGTGTAGAGCAGATAGAGTCCCCATCGACGGATCTTGATGTAGCCTTCTAGTGTTGGAGGCGTGCCACCAGTTCCTGCGGCGACTCAGCAATCGCGTTCACACAGGCTGAGAGGGTCCCGAACCAAAGCTTTGCCAGCTCTTGAAGTCATACCAGAAGGCTAGTCCCGCGGCTGCTAGACCGGCCAGTACGTATTGGGCGGCCATCTTGAACGAGGTTACGTGGCGATCAAGAGAACGTTACTCAGAGAAGGTCTGGTGAGACGGGGTCGAGGTCGCGAGTCTAAGAGTTTGCGGTGTTCCGTTTCAAGATGCGGACTTGAAGGTTAATGGGGGCCGCGCGATGTGGGGCGAGTGAGGGATAGGGCTGTCGCGGGCGGGAAGGCTAACGGCGCTAGAAGATCGGATCCCCTCACGAGCGCCCAATGACCCGGCTGCATCCCCGCAACACCTCCGCGACCCATCCACCACCATGTCACGATGCAGCAGCAGCATCGCGCACGCCAGGCGCAAAGCGTCATCCATCTCTCGCATCGTCGCACATCGCACCCAGGCGAAACCACCAAGCTCGCGACGCAGGTGAAGATCTAGAGAGAGTGCTAGCGACTCCAAGGCATCCGCGGTTTCAAACGCTACTATTTCCATCGCCACCTTGAAACATCGCTCGCGGACTCCATAAGACGAGGCAAGCGGCCTCTATACTCAGCATCGTGCACTCCTCCAAGTGCTGAACACACAAATGGTACTCTGCAACTACTGCGCCGCTCAACAGACTCAAAGGGACGCCGCCGAAGCAACGCATCCACGCGCCTTAGCATCGCATCCCCTCCACGCAGCCCAACCCGAAGAATACCTCCGACCCTCAAAACAACGCGAACTATCCATCATCGAAGAAGCGCGGACGGAATCGCTGAAAGCCGAGTCTCTAAACGCAGAGTCGCTCAAAACAGGCCCGCCAACACCAACCCAGCCGCAGCCCAAAGAGCGCAAGTCGCGAGCGCCGAAGATGTCCATACCACCGCAACTCCAGCAGCAACTGCGCTTGCTCATCCGCGCAAACCACATCCTACATCACCACGGCCTCGTCGACGCATTCGGCCATATATCCGTGCGCCACCCGCTCAACAAAGAGCAATACATCATCGCTGGCTACGATCCCGGCGCCCCGGCGCTCGTCAAGAACATGAGCGACTTTATATCGTACTGGGTGAAGGACTCCACGCCCGTTGACGCCGACGCGCCGCAGGGATACAGCGAGCGATATATCCACGGGGAGATACTGCGGAAGTTTCCCAAGGTGAATTGCGTTGTGCACTCGCATTCCGAGGACGTCATACCCTTCACTGTAGGACACGGCACGATGGAACCGCATCCCGTTCGACCCGTGTTCCACATGGCGGGTTTCATGGGCCTGGGCGGCGCTAAGGTATTTACAATGGATAGTCTACGTGGAACGTCAGCGCCCTCCGAACACGACCTCCTCATCAAGAACGCCTCCCTCGGTGCAGCCCTAGCCTCCCGCTTCTCCCCCGAAAGTCCCGTTGTACTACAGCACAAGCACGGTTTCACGACGTTCGGCGCTAGCATCGAGGAAGCGGTGTACCGGGCGATATACACGCAGAAAAACTGCATTTTGCTACAAAGGGCGATTGCGATTGCGGGGGGTGATGCGGAGGGGGTGTCGTATTTGAGTGCGCAGGAGATCAAGGATTGCGCGGTTATGAATGCGAAGACGTTGGATAAGTCGTTTAGGCTGTGGTTGAGGGAGGTGCAGGTTAATCCGCTGTATGAGAATGAGGAGGGGGAGCCGGAGAAGGGGAGGGTTGGGGGGATGAAGATGTGAGGAGGTAGTGTGAGCTGTTTCCCAGCTTCGAGTAATGCCATGCGCGTAGACCTTACGGTGGGAATTTGATGACCCAGGAGTCTACGTTGCTCTCAGATATTTCGATCCTGCTGCGATGCGCTGTTGTAGGCCGCAGAGCCTAGATAATCTCAAACTCACGAATTTGGACTTGCAAAGCTTCGTACGCGACCGGCAGGAAAGTTCCCATGCCTACACGTCTGAACTCGCTGTCGCTGACCTGCTCAAGAAGAAGCGCCCAGTACACAAAGTCTGGGTTCCGCTCAATATGGTAGACCACATCTCCCTAGCATGTGTAAGTTTCAACGCGCAGAAGAACTCAGTTGCTTCTTACGATGGTTCGCTCTTCCACAGACGCAGGGCTTATCACGACGGGACTCGAGGAATCAAAATCCTCCGCAGTTCTACGCTTTGACTTTGCAAGAAGACTCAGATGAGTATATGAGGTCGTTTGAGTACCATCGAATCGTGCAATTCCCAACACTGCCTGGTGAGGAGTATCGTGCATGTCCTGAGTGAAAATATAGAAGTCTCGGCTTATGTTGAGATGCGGAATCCTGAGAGGAAGCATACAGTAAGGATCATGACACATCTCAAGGTCTTGAAGCTGAAGGTCGCGTGAAGTGGATGCGTCGTACAGGTAGCTTGAGGCCAGCTGTTTAGTGCTTAAGTGTCCGACGAGTTCGAGGTGGCCTGTAGGGCCGATGACCAGTCGTCGTGGCATCTCTTCTGATTGCTCAACGTTTTGATGTTTACTGTAACGGTCCTCATGAGGCCATTTCTTGGTACCATTAGTGGCGGCCCAGCTCCATGAAGGGACAGTGAGCAAGTCATCCGAGCACGGGCCGTCACTCAGCCAAAGTAGTTGAAGTACCAGCTTCTTTTCCCACACACCATATTTTGCAATGTATCGCTCTTTCTTTGAACGCTGTATGTCTTCAACAATCCCTCTGAGAGCCTTGGTACGATCCGAAGGCACTGTTAGGGACCTTCTTGTGTACTCTTTTAAAAGTAAGAGCCATTCATGCTCGGCCCCAATACTAGAATGACGCCCTACTTCATCTCTTGATGTTGTTTGACAGATCCACGTAATACCTTGAGGCATGAATGCGAGGAACCGTCGCGCAAGATAGCGCTCTTGGAGCGTCCATGCTCGGCTCTCAAGCGGACCGAATTTCGGATCGCAGTCTCCGGACAATTGCATCATGTTGAATACTCCTTGGATCTCGCCGTTCTTGCGATAAGGTAATCGAAGGACCATTGCTCTTGGACGATCAGTGATGAACAGACCTTCACTGCAATCTCTCGCGCCCGAAGCAGCTACAACCAAGGCCGCATTGCGATATACATCTCGCATTCTCTCCGCTTCAAAAATCCAATCCTTGGGATCATCTTGTATGATACAGAGAGAGTCGATCCACACGTATCGGATGCTAATGACTTGTGCAAGCTCTACGACATCTTGGAATGTCTTCGGTAGATCTTCGAACGCGATGCCAGCTTGATGCGCTTCAAGGTTGTCGGACGTTGTTCGAGGTGGGCGCTGCTTAGTCGAACCCCAACAATGACTCAAGGCTATGTATCGTCCCTCCCGGCCTTTACTTTCAACAAGCTGAACTGAAGGTTGTGCTTGGTTTCCGCAAAGTGCTAGAACGCGAGTTGGCATCACGGAGTCATACTCCGCTATACAGCGTTCGTGAGTACTGCAACCTTTTCGCCAATGCTGGATAATATCACTTGCCTGGTCAATGTGTGGGCCAAGGATTGGTGCTCGATCGTTCAAGCTTGTACATGCAGCGCTGCCTTAATCTTTTGTTAGTATCGTCTAGGAATGCTGCATCTGAAGCTGTTTACCGGGGTCTGCCCACAACGCAAACGAACATTCCTTAATCCGTGCTGCACATATTCGGCTGTATTGTGGTCCGTTGGGGCTCCATCGTCGCCCCATGTCCCGGTCAGTGATATACCATGTCTCCACCCTCATATCCTCGATCCACGGATGGTTCGAAATAACCTCGCAGAAGCGGCAAATACCTGGAGTAATCTTCGGATCGAAACCTCGTGATGCACGGGACGTTTGACTACCCAACGGAGAGTATTCCAGTATCCTTTCAGCGAGCTTGACGCAGAAGTCGCACAGTTCGATGATGTCCTCAATGATTGGTTCCGATGAGTCCGGCGCATCCTCCGCATGTTGGGAAGGCATTGACACAATAGTAGTAGAGTGTAAGACGGTTATTCTTAGGGTCGTAGAGAGTGATCAGTCAGGACTAGAGCCGTTGAAGGATGAGAGGGGATGCTGTCATCGACATTAGCTGGTTGGGCTGACTGATAGACTTTGGAGGGGGGATCACCCTGAGGGTGGGAGTCAGCAGCAGCTGGGCGTACTCAGCCCAGGCTTCGGGTGCATGCGAGCCAATGAGTAATCCTGTTCACTGGCGCTGGTGTCGACGCGCGCATGATGCGGGCCAACTCAGCGACTCGTCCCGACCCTTCACGAGGAGATTAAATGCCTTAACAGAGGCGCACTGACTGCTGAAGAATGCGTATGGCGGTGGCGGAATCCTCGAGGTCCAATGGCGTCGTCTAGGTGGCAACGTCATGGGTAGCTCCATTCGGGAAGTCGCATCACCCGCGTTGCCGACTACAATATCTTCTGCTTCGATAAGTAGAGGGTATACAGGCCAAAAGGATCTGGTTTCAAAAGCATGAACCATGAGTTGCCCAAGTGGTTATGCAATCCTGTCGTGGCGTGGGGGCCATTTTGCAGAAGATCAGTGTGCGACCGGGAGATGCTGAGCCCTCCAAGTGATAGGTTTCATAAGCAAGAGACGTCACTTGATAATAATCTAGTTTTGATTGACGCATAGCTGAATTTTACGTTGGCGTTAACTCGACGATGGCATGGCGAAGGTAAGGCCGTGGGTTATTGGGGACGTGAGGAGGAATGGGCGGGGTGGGCGCCACACGTGGCTGTGCTGTGGCGCACTAGCGCATGACGCGCCTGCCCGCATTCCCACCCAGTCAACTTTCCTGCGCGACTTGCTTGTTCTGCAACAACGCAACCATACCATCTCTACTCTCACCGTAGAAATACCGCGACTCTTTCACGCATAATCAAGCTGAGCTGGTCGAAAAAGATACACTAGGAGTCTGAAGCGATACGAAAGGTAGGCGCTTCCAGGTCGCATTGCCCCTCCGAAGCTTCGGGAAGCAGGCAGGCACTATGTTCGGGCTGCGCAGAACATGGCTGACAACTCCTTCTATAGTTTCACACTACATCCCCCCATATTTCCAAACCCCGATCACCAGACATGGCCTCGACCGCGCTCATCGACGCCGACATGGCGCCCACGCTCCAGTCCATCCTCGACCAGAAGACGCTGCGGTGGATATTCGTTGGCGGCAAGGGTGGTGTCGGAAAGACTACAACCTCCTGCTCCCTCGCCATCCAGCTCGCAAAGCACCGCAAGTCAGTCCTCCTCATCTCGACCGACCCCGCGCACAACCTCTCGGATGCCTTCAACCAGAAGTTCGGCAAGGACGCGCGCCTCGTCAACGGCTTCGAAAACCTCAGCGCCATGGAGATCGACCCCAACGGCAGTATACAAGACTTGCTGGCGAGCGGAGCGGAGGAGGGCCAAGACCCCATGGCGGGCCTGGGTGGCATGGGCAGCATGATGCAAGATCTGGCCTTTAGCATTCCCGGTGTGGACGAAGCCATGTCCTTTGCCGAAGTGCTCAAGCAAGTCAAGTCCATGTCCTACGAAGTCATCATCTTCGACACGGCGCCCACGGGCCACACGCTACGCTTCCTCCAATTTCCCACCGTTATGGAGAAGGCCCTCTCCAAGGTCTCGCAACTCTCGCGCCAATTCGGGCCCATGCTCAACTCTTTCCTCGGTGCCTCCGGCAGACTACCCAACGGACAAAACATGGACGAGCTGGTTGAGAAGATGGAGAACCTGCGCGAGACGATTGGAGAAGTCAATGGCCAGTTCAAGGACGCCGACCTCACCACCTTTGTGTGTGTCTGCATTCCCGAGTTCCTGAGTCTGTACGAGACGGAGAGGATGATCCAGGAGCTCAACAGCTACGAAATCGACACACACTCCATTGTCGTCAACCAGCTGCTGTTCCCCAAGGAGGACAACCCCTGCGAGCAGTGCAATGCGCGACGGAAGATGCAGAAGAAGTACCTCGATCAGATTGAAGAGCTGTACGACGAGTTCAACGTGGTCAAGATGCCGCTGCTGGTTGAGGAGGTGCGCGGCAAGGAAAAGCTCGAGAAGTGGGTATTGCACACCGACTCAGGATATCGTGTACTAACAGCGATTCCAGATTCAGTGAGATGCTCGTCAAGCCCTTCGTCCCACCGCAGTAGGCCCGTGCCGTTCTCAAACGCGGTAACAAGTAGCTTAGATTTGAGAGCCTCAACCCCTTTGGTACCGCTTTGGGCCTCACGGTACATTTCTCTTTTGCCGATTTCTCGCCGTCTCACCCTTGTACCTTGTACTCTTGCGATACCATGTGGTTCTGCGATTTCGCGTATTTCGCCTTCTTCCCCACACATCACGACTCAAGCAGCACGGAGTTCTGTACCTTTAGCGACTAGCCCCGATCTATCGCAGCCGGTGGAAATGAAAGACTCTGCCAAAGCAGGAAAAACTTTTAAAGCCTCGTTCTCCATATGCGTAACATGCCCGTGGACAGCTGACTTGAAATGCAGCACGCGACTGGGAGGATTCGGAGACATACGTTAGCCGCTGAACCAGGAACCGCCAGTGCCTGGGGTGCATTCAGCCCACCCAACACAATTATTGGGACTGTTGCGCACCCCGCATAAGTACCGTGCACTAGCCCAGAAGGGCGCTGACACCGACGTTTCATGCTTCTACACCATCACACAAGTTCGGGGTACAAACAGCTTCTGGTCTGCTCCGTGATGCTGTTGTTTAGGTACCTTCCTGTCCACGTTAGCG